CGCCTCTGCTCCAGGCTCATGCCGAGCTCGATGGCCGCCTGCAGCCTCTTGCCGGTGGCGGCCGCCATCTGGCGCAGTGAGCGCCTGTGGGCCGTGAGCCCGCGCTCATCCGACGGCGGCTCGACCCAGGCTGGGTGAGCCCGCGCGTCCGACGGCAGCGCGGGGAGGATGCCGAGCGCGGGGCTGCGGCCGTCCTCATCTCCATCCGATGCATCAGATTCGCCTCCAGCAGACCGCCTCCGTCGGCCATCGCCGTCGGCGGAGCGCCGGCGGCGGCTCGAGGCCGACCTCGGCCGCGGATCGCCTCCGCCGTCCTCCGTGCCCTCGTCCTCGAAGCGGACTCGCGAGGCTGACCGCGGCCTCGGCTCGGCCTCCGGCTGACGTGCCTCGCCCTTGCCGCCGCGGCGCCGACGCCTCGAGGCAAAACGAGGCTGGCGGCCGTCTCCGCGCGGGCCCGCGCGCGGGCGAGCTGTCCCTCCTCCGTCTCCATGCATTGGTCAATGATCGGGAAGAGGGAAGCAGGTGCGGCACAGGGCGTCAGCAGGGCCATTGAGACCTCCGCACGACGGGCACCACCATCCAGGCGGCGGCGGCGGCACGGCCCACGGTGGAGTGCTGCCACTCTGCCCGGTGTGGCCGCCGCCCGAACTGCCCTTGCCGCTGCCCTTGCGGCCCTGGCCGCCTTTGCCGCCGCCTCCAGCACGGCCTGACATCAGCCCGTTGCTGTGGTGCGCGCGCAGCCTCGCTGCGGCAGCGGCGACACGCAGCAAGGTGCGCGACTGCGTGCGCCGCTCGCGAGCGCGCCTGTGCCAGGCGGGCTCGCGCACTCGCAGCCGGCGCCGCGCCCTGCTCGAAGCGGGCGCCCGCGCCGTCGTGCGCCCGCCCCCTCTGGGGGCGGCGCACGCCGCAGCGCAGCAGCACGGCCGGCCCGCACGCCACCAGCGAGGGCGCGGGCGAGCGCGTATGGCCGCCGAGTCCCGCGAGGCTCCGCAGGTATCCTGGATACCTGCACCCAAAAGCCTCGGGCCGGGACGGCGGCTCATGGTAAGGGATGGGAGGGAGGGGTAGGATGTCAGATATGACGCGAGCGCACTCTAGCTTGTCCCCCTCTCCTCCCCTCTCCCCCTCCACACCCTCCTCCTCCTCTCCTCCCCTACCTCCTCCCCCTCATCCTCCCTCCTCCCCCTCCCCTCCTCCTCTCCTCCTCCCTCCTCCTCTCCTCCTCCTCCTCCTCCTCCTCTCTCCTCCTCTCCGCCTCCTCCTCCTCCTCCTCCTCCCTCCTCCTCCTCCTCCTCCTCCCTCCAGCCTCTCCTGCCCTCCGTCCTCCTCCGCCTCTCCTACCCTCCCCCTCCTCCTCCTCTCCTACTCCTCCTCCTCACCTCCTCCTCCTCCCTCTCCGTCCTCCTCATCCTCCTTCGTCGTCCTCGTCCCCTCTACCTCCCTCTCCTCTGACCTCCTTCCCTCTAATCTCCCCTCTCTCCATCCCGGGGGCACGCGAGGGCGCTGTGAGGGATAGTGGCCTCTAAAGAAGACCTCCCCCGAGGACCCCAGAGGGCGCCAGACGCCTTCCAGGCGGACAAGACAAGGGCAGCCTGGTGCCCCCAGTGAAGGCTCTGACACCCAAGGGGAAATCCCGCGCAGCGGACGCTGCAGTTCGCGCCAATGGGCGCGCGCCTCTAAAGAGCGCGCGGGGCGCCGGGCGCCGGAAATCAAAGCTCGATTGGTATTCGTGTTCGACTCAGCTCTTCCCTGTTTCTGCTGAATGCTCTCGACCAATAGCGGCAGGTTTCTGTTTCTGGCTTTTACGCTCTGCTCTGAAATCCCCCCGCAGAGATCCCAGTGGAAAACAAAGGAGGGTCGTGCGCAGGGGGCGGGCCATGGGGGGGGGGGGGGGGCAGGGCGGAGAGCGCGGCCAGGTGCACCTGGGTATCTTTTGCAGGGGATCGTTGCAGTGCGGCCCCCAAAACGTAGCCAGCACCGAGGCGCGGGCACGATTCCTGAACACATCGCGAGCAAGCCTGGCGAAACGGCTGCAGCACTCCGTGGGGCTCTTCTGTGATACGTCTCTTGTGGCCATGGGGGCCCTCCAGCGACACGCTAATTGGGGAAAACACCTTCTCGAGCGAGCGCCCGCTTCTTCGACTGTCGATGGACGGGCATCGGCATGCGCCCCCCGAGCCTCCAAGGCTCCCTGGACACCCAGGCTTGTTTTGTGCTAATCCAAAGCAGGAAGCAACCAAACTTCACGTTGCTCCATGCCTGCTACGTGGGCCAGCTTCCAGCTTGTCTCGGGCCGGCCTGATGCCTCCAACAAACCCTCCGCGTTGCTCTGTACCTGCCTCATGGGTCAACTCATCTCTGGCCTGCTTAGATGACCCCGAATCGGTCCTACCGCCGTTGCAGGCACGGCGTCCCGCCCTAGCAGGGGACGAGGTCACTGGACTTAGGGCCGTCGGCAGTCCCATTACCCCCTGTCCTTCCCCTTCTTCTCCTCTTCCTC